CTACCACATGTATTCGTAACTGTCATCCGTGCTTCAAGTTATTTTGATCCACTGTAAACTTTTCTAAAACTCAGATGAATAATTGCCATTCATGAAACCGTTTCAAGTACATTCTCGAGGCAGAAGAACTCACGGACTGTTCTTGTACTGGAGATGCCTGATCACCATCACTACTGAGCGGTGTTTTGTTCAGTTTATTATCAAGTTCTCGCGAAGTATCCCACCTTTCTCCTGGTTTTGATTTCGTCTGACTCTGTGACTTAAAACCTGGATCAGTATTAAGTTTTGATCCAGACCCATCGGTGTCTCGTTTAATTAGGTCGTTCTGGTATCTGTGTTTCCTAAAATCTCTGGCAGCCTGTCTCAAACGAGACTGAAAGTCTGGGAGACCTGTAACAATCGAATAGAAATTAGCCCAGTAAGGAGTGTAGTTATGTTTTCCACACAAAGGTACTTGCAGCTTTGCTCCTGTGCAATATAAAATGTGTTTTATGGACAGCAAATTTTCTTTTAAATTATCCACTAGATTAACCTGTATCATCTATGCATCACTGCTACATGTTATCCAGCTAGCTGTGTCACAGTAGCTTATGGCCAAACCCTTAACCCTGAAGATAAAGTCTGGCTAACAGTCCCATAGTACAGGGGTTGAAATCCCCCTTTACTGTATGATAACCAACTAGATGGCTTACGGAACCCAAAATCACCGTTCATAACCGAACTAACCAAAGCCCTCCACCAGACTCTGTCCTGGGCCAACAAAATCCAGTCTCCTTCAACTCCTATCTCCCATAGATCCCGCCTGAGATTATCCTCCCATCTACGTCTAGGTCTCCCCAGCGGTCTCTTCCCCTCAGGCTTCCCGACCAGTACCCAGTGCACACCTCTTGTCCCATCCATGCACGCTACATGCCCAGCCCATCTCATTCTTCTCGACTTAATCACCCTGACAATATTGGGGGAGGAGTACAGATTTTTAAGCTCATAATTATGCAGTTTTCTCCATGCCCCATCGTCTTCTCTCCTAGGCCCAAATATCCTCCTCAACACCCTGTTCTCAAACACCTGCAATCTGTGATCCTCCCTCTGAGTGAGAGACCATGTTTCGCACCCATACAAAACAACAGGTAAAATTACTGTTGTGTTTACTTTAATCTTCAGGATCTTATAAATCAGACAGGAAGACCAAATATTTTGAACTGGAAAGTAGCAAGCATTTCTGGAGTTTAGTCTCCTCCTAACTTCCTCATGAATATAATTTTGATTTGTTATTGTTGTTCCTAAGTATTTGAACTTTGTCACTCTTTCAAAGGATTTATTAGCCACCCTAAGATAATTCTGCCCGCCTGTCTGCTGACGACGAGATACTAACGTGTACTTCATTATTTCTTAATTTACTTCCAGCCCCACTTGTCTACCAGCCTCTAGTAAAACTTCTGCGCTCCTCTTTATTGTATTTATATCGTCCCCAATAAATTAACGCATCAGCATATGCCACCCTGTGTATTTTAGTTACGTAAGTGAGCAAGAGTGGTGTTCACAACAGAACAACTTTCTTTTCATAATGGTGTGAATTTTGAAAAATAAAAGAAAACTGAACAGGGAGCTAATTTCAGAAACTAACTTTGATAAAGACAGAGTAGCATTGTGTGATATCAGTAATGTGAATGGAAGCTAAGATAAAATTTGGTCAACACCAAAATACCCTCGGAATTCTGGTGGCACTGTGCTCTCAGATGATTGATACAAATGGAGTGTGTGTGCGAGAAGTGGAGAAGAAAAAATCTACATTAGGATTCAATCCTATGACTGCCCACACAAGAACCCAAAAATATACCATTAAAAATAAAAGATTTGTAGGACTGAAAATCTATGCACCAGGAAAGTATGCCATTAACTCCGTGTTTAATACGAAGTGGTATCGGTGAGTAAATACATTCATTTCCGTCTTAATACCTACCATTGTTTGCTTCATGCTGTGTTGGTAAAAATCTATGATTTTACGTAATAATAAGTTAGGAAATGTATGTATGGTACCAATTCTGGTGTCCTCACCAGAATTTTATCATTGCAAGTTGGCATCAGTGATGTCACATGTCTGGGGGCAATGATCTTGACATCATCACAGAGGGTTTCCTACATTCTTGTGAGACTTGCTGGGGATTCCCCATCCAGTCACTTTCATGCACAAAAACAGATGTTGGTATTCATGTTATTGACATCTGATTTTAACAAGAATTCAAACGCAATGAAACATTTTAGTAAAACTCTTCATTATCTTATTTCATGAAAATCTGTTGAGTCGTTCTTGAGTTGTTACATTCAGACATACATGTGGCAAACCTGATAAGCATATTTTTAAAACTTCTGTTTGTCAACAGTCTTAAAAATGGTTAGTGAAAGTACGAGGCGCGTCCCAAAAGTAAGTTTCCCACTCGTCCCACAGCTAGCAAACCTTATATTGAGCGAAGCGACTGTGCGTACGTGATAGAGCAATGACGTAGCATGGCGCATGCACTAAAGGCACTTCCCGCGTTCTCACAGTAGCATTGTTGTAGCTGTTGAAGATTGAGGTTCTTATTCCAGCTCCCGCCGACTGTGAAGTGCGGTCAGTGATAACGCTAGGCCGCACACGGCTCGACGGACAG